TTGATTATTTGTGCCGTTGGATTGCTGTCTCTGTGACGTATATCCAGTGTCTCTTTTCATTAAGATAATATTTTAGGACTTCAACAAATGTAACAGTGGAGACAGAAATTTCTGTTGTGCCTTCATAGCCTGGACTTGATTCCACACCAACTGACAACAATAACAAAAAAATACAAATCTATCACAAAATGGTCATTTGTTTTCAGCATAGATAAATAGTTTATCATTTTACAATAAAATTATAATATGAATGTAAACATGATATCATATAAATTGACTTCCCCATTTCCATTCTCAATTTTTATTGATATCATATATATTAACATGCAATTGTATTTCTTTTCTAATTATGAGCTAGATATTGTTGTCCTATGTTTACTAGCCTCTCTACCCCATGTCATTGTTTTGACTTACGCGTTTAAGAAGGGCATCGAATGTCGTGGGGGATGGGAAAAATAGTTAAAGATAATTTTAATTTTCATCAATTTCATATAACAATTTCTTATTTATCTACATATTCTAATTGAAAAACAAACAAGCACAAAGCTTGCGAATGGGGACATATAGTTGGAACCCTCCTTTTATATTTTATAAATGGTTGGATCCGCCCCTGGGAGTCATACGAGAAACCCCGAGCTGAAGACGAGTGAGTAAACTGATACACGTGTGGTGACATTTTAATTATCTCCATCCTATTCTGAAATTTCACATCCATAATTTCTTTATATTCTATTTCGATATTGTTACAGTGTAATTTGACTCTGTTTCCGTTATAATAAATTTCCACTACGAGTCCAAAACGAATGGATTGTTTTGTTTGCAAACGAAGTTGTGAGTTGTTAGTTAGACTGTAGTATGATTTTTGATAGTGGTTAAGCAGTGGTTTGATTTCCTGGAATTTATTTTTTTTAATCTGTTATACCTTTAATATAGAGCTAAGTGTTTTTCCATTACTGGTTTAATCATATGTTCTTTTATGTACCGTTTGTTATTCTTTAACAATTAGAGAGAAGACATCTTAAAAAACTAGTTTTAATCACACCTTTGTATGTGTTTGTTCCAAGTCATGCAGGAAATTCGTCCTTTGTCACGTCTTAATGTTTTTGTTATTTGGAGAATTTCGTGCTGATGGCAGACCTGTAATTGTTTCTGTTTATATTATTCATATGTTTTTCTTAACTCCATGGGATTAAGAACTTGGCATATTGTTCAAGATACAGGTCTATCTTTTGTTGAAATTTAACGTTGACCTCTGGAAGTCGTTTGGTTTTTTGTTTTTGTTTTTGTTTTTGTGTTTTCTTGGTTGCTGTCTCATTGATGAATGTATTTGTCTTTTGTTCATACATGTCGTTTTCGAATTGACTTACAAACTATAAACATTTTTTTGTCGTTTTGTCGTCTTTTGGTTTGTCATAGTCTGTGTTCTATCATGATCATTTACACATGTATTTAGGCAGTATAGAAATTAAGAAGATGTGGTATGATTGCAAATGAGACAACTCTCCACCAGAGACCAAATGATGTAGAAGTTTCCAACAAATATAGGTCACCGTACGTTCTTCAACAATGAGCAAAACCAATATCGCTTAGTAATCTATAAAAGAAATGACATATGTCAAACAATCCAAATGAAAAAGGCAACAGCCTTATGTATGTATAAAAAAGATAAACGACAAACAAATATGATATACAGCAGTTAACGACTACGACTAAATTACACGCCTCTGACTTGGGACAGGCACATACAGAATGTGGTGGGGTTTAACATGTTTGCCGGCTTCAAACCCTTCCATTGACCTGGGACAGTGTTTTTACAGTACAACATAAAAAAAAACAATATGAAAATCAGTTGAAAAGGGCTTAACTCATCAGATCGATACAAAGCACAAAAATCTAACAAACACACGAAAGACACAAAGTACAGATCTGAGAGTACTCGCAGTTACTAAAAGCTAGTTCAAAGCCAATAATTAATAAAAAAAAATCATGTATCTAAGACTAAAACATCAATTGGTACACATCAAACATCCAATGGATTTAGTGTCAAAACGTCATTAACAGTCAGAGAAAAATATGACCTTGTGCAATGCCAAAATAAAGGTATATAGGTCGTGAATTTACATATGTATATAACAATTATATTAAGCTGGGTTTTAATTTTTTTATTACTAAATCAATATTAGTACCGATAAAAACAATATTCAAAGATCTTAAATAACGGTGTTGAATTGGTTACCTTTTAGAATAAGTTTTTTTTAAAGGACCGATAAGTTTACCCGGATCGTTTCTAATTTTACGGGCTCGGTAAACAACGTCACCGTGAAAATGAGATTGTGCGATCTTGTTTGAACTTAGTTTTCTACTGGTACAGCCAAACGACCAAACCTAATCTTTGTATCTTTAAAAGAATTTAGTAAAGGTTTTAACGTTTTAGTAATGTGTGGTAATAATTTACTAGTAATGCATAGATTACGCTTATTGAAATCAAACGTCACTACAGACACAGGCATAATTCGTTTTGTCTTCTTTGGTTTGTCATATTCTGTGTTCTATCATGATCATGTGTTTCTTATTATAAAGAGGTAGGGACTATTCTCCTTTCAGGGCTGAAATCCAAAAGTTGCTAAATCCTGCCGGAATTTGAACATTGAAAAGTCTAAATAATTTATGTTAAGGTTTCTAAAATAGTTTTATGTTTATATCCATAAAATAAAATCAAAGAGGTAGAAGATATCAAGACTTCAACTGTTTTTGATAGCCGACTATACGGTATGGGTGTTGCCTATGATTGTTTACATCCACTTTATTTAAACTCTGGTGGATAGCTGTCTCATTGACAATTATACCACATCTCCTTATTTTTATATTTATACACTATTCTTAACTTTAATAACTGGTTAATGAAGCTTTAATTTGACGGACATCCTTCACGAATTAATCTGAATCTGAGCAAAACATAGTTTTACGTCAAATGGAGTTTGTGTTTTAGCAAAGAATGTTCTTCTTATTTATTTATGCGACAGTCAAAATTTGTCTATATTCACAAACATTGCAGTTTTGAGTCACCCTTATGTGTTTAGTGATAACAAGGTTATACATGTACAGAAGTATACGATAATGCTGTTAGACCCTAAAGTACCTACACTATAATCGCTTCAAAAGCTCTTAGTCGTTGCAAAAGCTTTCAAGAGATAATGTTATTTGTAAATAATGCACATCGACTTTGAATAAAACTTTTGACGTTCACTTGACACGAATATGCATGCTGTTAATTTAGGTAAAGATACGAATCTAATGTAAATATAGTTCTCTGATTTCGTAATGCTTCGACGAGTAAATGAGTTCCATTGAATCTGAATTTTAATCCGATTAGGAAGATTCTATTTTAAATTGCCTTGGTGTGAAATGAATTCTGCAAGAATTTGTCCTACTTCTATGCAATATATCACTTTCGAAATCGAAGCGCTACAAGTATAATCATATCATCATTAGTAGAACTACCAAGACAAGTTATACGTGATTATCATGCGCGTGTCAAAGAATTGAGGCTATATATTGACAATATAATACTTATAATCCATTTTCACTGACCTAATACACATTTTTATTTAGGGGCCAGCTGAGGACCACCTCCCGGTGCGGGATTTTCTCGCTGTGTTAAAGACCCACTGGTGGCCTTCGGCTATTGTCTGCTTTTTGGCCGGGTTGTTGTCTCTTTGACATATTCCCCATTTCCATTCTCAATTTTATTCCATGGTTTTACCATTGCAGTTTAGAAGAAAACACCCAACGGGAAATTCATAATCGTAATTGATGCCCTTAAGTTTTTCACTTCTCAATTGAAATTTCTTTCAAAATAATAACTTATATCGTCATAATGATAAGTCGCGGATTTCGACAAAGGTGAGACGATACTAGAAACTCCTTCCCACTGGACCTAAAAGCTTATTTTTCTTAATTTTAAAAATCACTTGAAACAAGACATTATATTGAACAACCCCATCCTTTTTTAATACTGGGTACGCCACTAAATATCAAAATTAAAGTCTATGAACAGGTACTTTGGTTAAAACTGTCCTTGTTCTGTTATAGTTTATTGAGCCAATAATTAAGCTGTATATCATTACCTTTCCTTGTTCGGTAATAGCGGGGTTTTTTTTATTTATCAACCATTTTTGTCTTTTCTTCATTCGACTTTCAAAACAAGTTTTTTTATTAGAAGTTTCATACTTTTGAGAATACTCTTGGCACGAAAACATCTGAATAACTTAGATGCACGATTATATACAAACCGTAGTTTTAGACTATACTGGTGAAAGAGTTAATGAAAATAATCTCTAAGGATATACCATATATACATCAAACAACTTTTTATACTTCACAATTCTCAATTGATTAATCAATTTACGTATTATATCTAAATTATTCATGTACCAATTTCGTTATTTGACGAAATTCGTCTTGTAATGGTTGGTAATTGAATAATTCTGTCGTAGCTGAAAATTTCGTGGCAAATTACTTCATAAAAGGTTTCTATAAATGTCTTATTACTAACACTTTGGATGTAATTGTTGGTCTCTGTCGAGACGTTTATTGTTTTACATAGACGACATGTCTTCCGTAGAAAAATATTCTTGAGACAAGTTTGAGATATGGAGAATATTGCAATATTGAATTGTTTACAAGATAAGAACCTCTTGATTTTTTCCAATAAAGCATTGCACTTCATCTTAAAAAGTGTGTTGGCTAAAATCTATTATGGTTATTTTGTATTTTAACATTAAATTATTTTAATAAAATAGTTCTTCTCTTCTCCACGCTGTACAAATGTCTAATTATTCTTTTTTTTTTTAGAAACCATAAAAGTGCTTTATTTAATAAGCTAAATCTCCAATGGGGTTTCTGCCTGTCAATTTCCTTCCTGTACAGATCAATACACATCAGCGGAAATTAACAACAAATGAAATGGAATGACTTTTGTGGGGGTTAGAGACATGATACCGGTTTCGAAATGGGAAAGGGGAATTATTTACGCAGATAGGAACTACAGACTTAAATAATAAATGATAACTGGGAAATATAAATTACACAAGCATTTCATTTGGAATAAACTTTATCTAAACTCCTTGAAAAGTTTTCAACAGATTATAGTTTGAAGCAATTGATGAAAACGGTAAGTCTATTTCATTTTGAAGATTTTTTATTAAAGAAGATATATGCCCTTTTTTCTTTCTTTACAATTCAGTCTGATAAACAGTTAATAAGCTAGTTACGGAGCTTTGTTGTTGCGCCAATTTACATTTCATTTCATCAAATCTTTCATTTGCGCGGCAAAACATATTTTAATTCATTTGCGCCAAAATAATACATATCATTTGCGCAAATAATACTGGTAAATAGTATAAATAGTACATCAATATTGAAAAGAGACTTTGTATAATAATGTTACAACATAGTTTTGAAAGCTTAATACAACATATTTATCATAGATCACATTCATCAATAAACCAAAATAAAAACATTAAACACTGATAAGTTTTTTTTTAAAGCTCAGATTGTAATTCTTGCTTGTCTATACCGTGGTTGATTGTATCGTTCCATGTTTTTGAAATAGTTTTGTTGTCCACAGTGATTCTGGATTTTCAAGATTTTTGGTTACATATATACAAATTGCGTCCGTTTTTCAACATATTAGATATCCTAAATGTAAATAAGGTCTAAAAATTTACAGACGTATTTCCTCCTTTATTTGTCTCCGAATGAATTATGTCCATTTTGTCTCCTCGAACATGTGAACACTATACAAATTTATATACTTAAAGTGACTCTCAGTTTTGTATTAGAAATGAGTATGCACTCACTTTCTTACGCAATGGGGGATGCTCTATTATTATGCAGCATTTCTGATACGAGCCTCGTGCGTAGGATACAAAATATAAAAGCAGTATTTATTTTTGGCGCACATAAAATACAATCTTGTGGCGCAAATAAAATACTGGATTTTTCAAAATATTGGCACAAATACAATGCACCCGCTTGTTAGATTTTTCATTCTACAATAAGTAAAGGCAACAGTAGTATACCGGTGTTCAAAAGTCATAAAACTTGATTGCCTAAAATATTGCATTTTTTTTACTGTATTGTAAATGTTTGAAGTAAGGGCTAACGGAGGAGATTTTATACATTACTAATGTTGAAAAAAGGAAACTGATGATATTCAGTTTTTTAAAAGTTTCTTACTGTAAATATTTAATGTTTAATATTTAATGTTACTTAGAATACTATTCTGGCGTTTCAACATTTAGTCTGACAATTCTTATAGTTATCGTAGTCTGACAAATATAACGTTTTCTTGAAATGTTTTTTTTTTTGTGTGTGACTTAGTTATATAAAAATATATTATGTTATTTTCAATTAATTCTTTTAAACAACTAAATATTTACTCTTGTTTTATTGCGTATATAAAGATATTGTCGCAATTTTCATCCCACGTATGTGGCTTATTGATGGTTTAGCACAAATGTACACGAAAGAACATATAATAAAATTAAGCACAGAAAAACACTTAACTGTAAAATATCGGCACAACAGACAACAAAAACCACAAATATATACGCAAAACAATTAAAAACAATATTGCATCAATGACTGCTCGAAATCAGTATCAATGACTGCTCTAAATCAGTATCAATAACTGCTCTAAATCAGTCATTGATACAACATTTAGAATTAAGTACAAAACTTGAGATTAGCTTCATTAAAAGATTATGGTTGTCATCTTTTTAAGGATCTTGTGGGATGATAGAATATATAACGCCTTTTCTATGTCTTATGTCTGCTGCACAATGTTATAAGTACTGTGTAATTGGAGCGGGACCTGGTGGTCTACAAATTGGATATTACCTTCAGAAGCTAGGTCGAGATTATATCATCTTTGAAAGGTCCAACCAAGCAGGTATGTGAATTGACATAATGTGATGTGTCATTATAACGTCCTTTTTGTTAATCAAATAAAAAAAAATAAACGTCAATTTCTTCGGGCAAAGTTACCTTAAATGATAAGACTACTCTGCTTATGTCCTATTTTGGTCATATAGCTCCTAATGTTTTACACATCTTTGGCTTTCAAATCTTGTGGTATTTCTGGGTAAAGTGAAAATCTTGTGGTATTTCTGGGTAAAGTGAATGTAGAAAAGCGCGTCGGAAGCACGAAATCTATAAAGTGTTTTATCATCAACAACAATACAGAAACCATATCAAAACAAAAATTGTCAATTTATAAACTTTTCTTCACTATTGTGTTCGCTGTTAAAATCAAACATTCTGATTACAGTTACAGTGTTTCCGTGTCTCAAATTACCATACGAATGTTCATTTTGTCATGGATTCTGTTATGTGCTGAACCGTAGCTCTTTTGGTCTTTGTTATTTTTTTTAGTATATGCGATCCATAGGTAGGATTCTATATGTTCACTGAAATAATACGGCATGACATGAAATAATCATTTCTCAAGTTTTGGCTTTATCTTTCGCTTTTTTATCAACGTTGATTGCTTGATCTAACCAAATATAAAAATAAGAAGATGTGGTATGACTGTCAATGAGACAACTCTCCATCCGAGATTAAATGACATAGAAGTTAACAACTATAGGTTACCGTACGGCCTTCAACAATGAGCAAAACCCATACCGCATAGTAAGCTATACAAAGCTATAAAGATGTCTTTTTAAGAAAATTTATATGTTTCCAATATATATCATTAGCTCACAAATTCGTTTTAGCCAGGTGATGCCGTCCAAAATTTAACCATTACACAGATACTAATATTCCTTTAAATGTAATATTATGCTTTTCATATCTTACTTGTGCAAAATCTCTATCGATCTCTGATTTCTTAGGAAGTTTCTTTGAGAAATACCCACGGCATCGGAAACTAATCAGCATCAACAAAAGACACACCGGGAGTACCAATAAAGAGTTCAACCTACGTCATGATTGGAACTCTCTTCTGGGTGACGACAATCAAATGCTATTTAAGGAATTTTCAAAAGAAATGTTCCCACCAGCTGACAGTTACATCAGGTAGGCAATCTGAAATCATTCAGTATACTATGAATATTTATAATTTTATTAAACCTAATATGAGGCAGCTGTTACCTGTGAAATAGAAAGAACTCCGTGTAAGTTTCATCATACTTCTTGGTGATAGATATATAAATTTGTGGGAAATCGTGAGCTTTGCAACATGTCAGCCTCCGTAAACGGGTTATGCGCAAGCGGGAATGTTATTTTAAAAATTTTAAAAGTTCACGATTTGGGATTCACTGGTATCGATTATCATTTAGATTTTTCTTTTTATTTATTTCCTTACTATCACGCAGTATAATTTTGTGGTTAAACGCACTAAGACCGCTTAACTGGAAACAAGTTAATTTGAACATTCATCAAAAAACGGAGACGTTCCTGGATGATAACATTTTTTTTTAACTTTGATATGTCAATGGGATTTATGATTCGATCATCGAACTTTGTTTAAATCAGAATATATGTTTTTTTTTCTCTCATAACAAATTTAAACAATAAAAAAAATGTAGTCTCAGTTAATACTTCTCTGTCTACGTATGGCATTTCAATAGATATAAGAAGACGTGGTATGAGTACCAATGAGACAACTCTCCGTCCAATAGATATAAGAAGATGTGGTATGAGTGCCAATGAGACAACTCTCCATCCAATAGATATAAGAAGATGTGGTATGAGTGCCAATGAGACAACTCTCCATCCAAGTCGCAATGTGTAAAAGTAAACCATTAAAGGTCAAAGTACGGCCTTAATTCAACACGGAGCCTTGGTTCACACCGAACAGCAAGCTATAAAGGGCCCCACAAATGACTAGTGTAAAACCATTCAAACAGGAAAACCAATTGTCTAATCTATATTAAAACGAGAAACGAGAAACACTTATGAACCACATCAACAAACGACAACCACTGAACATCAACTATACTATATAGAATTGTAAGACTCTTTATACCAATGGACGGAAATCGTCTGCTTTTTCAAACAATGAATAACTTTCTTTATATTTTCTCTTTTTAATTTTATCAAATAAAGACAGACTTAATCAACCAATTTCAAGAAAGAAATTTTGTATATAGTAATAAAAGGTTTGTCATCAGACGTCAGTATCGTTGAATATGATATAACTAACATACAGTAAAGTAATATTATCCTATTTTCTTTCAGTTACATCAACACATATGCTTCATATTACAAATTAAATATCCGATACAATACAGAAATAAAGCATATCAGGAAGTTAAAGTCCATGTGGTTTGTTCTAGAGGATCAACATAATAATATAACGCATTGCAAGTACGTGTTCATATTTTGAAGATTTTAAACCAAATATGGAAGCTAAAATGTTAAAAAACAAAACAAATTAGGATGAGACGTCTTGATGAAGTTATTTTCATTTCTTTTGACTTTAATGTTCTGTTCTAGGATATTAACTGTTACTTTTCTTAATACAATAGTTTATTGCTATATCCGGAAAACATCGAGAAACACGCAGGTTTCAAGTTGATGCTAAAATAAGTAATATTAATGAAAGGACGTATTGTTGAAACTCCAACCATACTACCAAATGAAATCAGAGCATATAACTAGAGATATGTCCAAAGCATATGTCAAGTTCTCATCACTAGAAACTAGCTTAGTTCGCACAACGCATCAGGGATGCGGAAGTCCTATAGTTCATCTGTCCGTCAGTCCGTCAACAATATTTTGAAAACGCAAAAACATCAAAAGTAAGGATAGAACGCTGATGATATTTTGTACAGTTGTTGTGAATGATATGTGGATAATATTGAATAAAAAATACATTAAAACTCAATTTAAAAAAAAAAAAATCACAAATTTTGAGAAAGATCTTTTTGTGCTTGGATTTCGATGAAAATTGGTATAATGGTAGCATTTCCAAATTGGTACCCGTGTCTTAAGTTTTCGTGATGGACGCCAAAACACATAAAATTGCTTTCTGTTGTTAAAGACCTATTCATGATGACTAGAGGCTGAGTTTCCAGCGAATTTGGCCTAGTCAACATTTTTACTTTTTTAAACAAATGATTGTTAAATGTTTTTGTCAGTTTTGAATCAGTTCAATATGATGCTCGAATATAGTCTAATGTAAAAATAGATAATGCACTCTTTATGCTTACAGTATTGTAATTGTTGGAACGGGGCTATCTTTACCGTTTATACCAAATGTAACTGGGATCGAATTAACCGATGGGTATGAAGACATATCTACATTTGGTCCTGATTATGAAGGAAAATCTGTATTGATACTAGGTAATTGATATTGTTTCGATGTATCTTATATATTTGAGGACTCTAAATTACACATGTACAAACGTATATTTATAAAGATTAGTTTTTTGTGAAACACACTTTTTTTACTCCTATTCCTTAAAATATTATAAAAAATTAATTTATCATCTTAAAAACCAGATAACACTTTGTCATAAAAAAAAAACAGCAAAAGAAAAAAAAACAGTTCACAAAACACCACGATCGATCAAAACGTACCAGTTCATGGGCTGTGTCATAAAATTTGAACTTTGCTTTTAACCGAACTATCTGTATCCGCACTGATACAAAATTATCTTCAAAGACTGAGCATAAACATTGTATGGTATATTATTTCTTTTCAAAGGTAGAGGAAATTCAGCCTTTGAAACAGCTCAAGCGATTTATGACAGAACGAACTATGTTCATATGATTGGGCGGCACAGGATACGTTTAGCATGGGAAACCCATTATGTTGGAGATATTAGGTATTTTCATATATGTTTTAAAACAATTAGATTATTCATTTTAATTGTCTGAAAAATCGTATACCCTCGAGCGTATACCTTGCATTTCTAAAAAGGAAGATAATAAAGGTTTTTTGTTTCGATTTTTGTTGTTGTTGTTGTTGTGTTTTGTTTTTTTTTTGTTTTTTTTTTTGGGGTTTTTTTCAGGAGGTAGTTTGGACGCATGTTTCGTTTCAAGCAACTGGATGAATGGGAAGACATGTCACAAATGGATTAAAATATAAAATATAAAAAAATCTGCCAGCTTATTTTCTTTTGAAATTGTATTTTTCCTTTAAAGTTCATAATTTACTGTCTACAAGACATAATATCAAATACCAAAAGGAATAAAAGTGATAAATGAATATACCAGACAAGTCTAAAATAGTTATGCAATCTTAAGGAAATAATTTCCTTGAAAAAAAAATGATTTTGTCATGTTTTTTTATGACAATTACTTATTTATACTGATCAATGGAAATTTATTGTTTTCTAATTATCAGATCGACCTTATCAAAGTTCAATTTTTCGTTTACAATTCATGCTCCCCCAACTATAATAAATGCGTCTTATATTGAATTTTTAGTATCTTCTCTTTCTATATTTGTACCACAAGACACAACTATCTGTAAATCAGTCAACAATGTTTTTCATCGTCTGCAGATAATGGATGAAATGGGCATATTATTTGACTTAATTTTGTCATTAATAGATACTCGTGTGCCAATTAAAAAGAATTTACGCCAACAAACAGTATCACGATTAATTGTATTTCAAAAGATTCTAGTCGCCGTCACTTCTATTTTGTAATTAGTTATAGGCTATTAATGCATATTAATATTTTGTGCTTCATAATTTCTGATATTAGAAAAACAGCAAAAGCGAGATTCACCAAGAGTAAAAGGAAATTGGTTAAATCATATTTTCATTTTTCCTGGATATTGTAAAAAAGAATATTGTACAAAGATATTTATGACTAATAAGTGCAAAAATGTTACATTATACGAATTCTAAAACGGTATTATTGATGAAGACAACTTAACGGATTTTTTTTTTATGTAATTTTTCAAATTCTTTTTCTTTCATTTTTTGGGGGGGTGGGGTGGGAGCTAAATTTTATTTGAGTGGTGAACAAAGATGATTTTTTTTAAATCTATGATAAAAACGAAATTGGTTCTAATTTTCATTCAACACGAAAGACACACGACATGTACAGTGGCTAATCCGGGGGGGGGGGGGGGGTCCGGGGTTGGAACCCCCCTTTTTGACGATCAATCGTTTTGAATGGGGACGTAAGGTTGGAACCCACCCCTTTTTATCCTGGGTTGGGACCCCCTTTTAAAAATGGCTGGATCCGCACCTGATGTACATTAAAGATACCATGCAAATAATGTTTACTAGCAAAATGCGTGTTTCGTCTACAAAAGGCTCATGCATGGTGCACCAATCAAAATAGATGGAAATCCAAATCAATTCCTAAGTCGGAAAGAGCATACATACCCCCTCCCACCACTCCCCCCCAAAAAAAAAACCAACAAAAGTTGTGCCAAAATTGGCTAAAACTATCTTTGCCTGGGATAGAAAAACTTTCGTGTTTTATATGATTTTAACAAGCTTTACCGTCAAAATCCATTTAATCTTGTCAGGAATATCACAGAGTGTGTCAATCTCAGTTTCAGTTCTAGACTTTTATGGAGACGATAATGGCTAGATTGGAAGAGGGGTTTGCTTTACTCATATATGTATTTATTCATTTGATTTTTATGGATTTCATTTTAACATCCATTAATGTTTGTTTAGAAAGTAATTTTTAAGGAATCGAATGTCAAAATATTTTATACAATCGCAATTCTGGTGTTTTGAGTAATTGATAGTTTACGACAATACAAACTGTTAATTGGTTTCTAATTACAGAAGTATAAGCTTTGAGGAAATTTTATACTTTTGTGTGTGGAAAATAGTGATTGTTTTCTGTGTAAATCATTGTTTCAAACATGAGAATTTTGAGAACTAAATATATCTAGTTTGATATGTCCTTCCTTTGTTTGCTTTGTTCTGCAGTACTGCAACTATTGCAGTAAAGGACTTCGTTATCGTGTATTGTTTTGTCATTTTGGGGAATATGGACTTGATTGCTTCTGTTAAATCTATTCACCACTTTTCAAAACTTTTTTTTTTAGGGCATGCCATTTTATGTAGACACCTTGTATACCGCGCATCATCTTTTACTTGTACATGCTATGAAATGAAATATGTTATTCTTTCAGGGCAATAAATAATGAAATTCTCGACACTTACCAGCTAAAATCTTTGGATGGGTTTTTAGAATATGGAAATCTAGAAGATTACATGATAGTTAGAAAAAAAGATGGTCTATATTTGACGGATGCTGACGAAGAAGCAGCAAAAATATGGGGACAGTATGAAAATGATCCATTACAAAAGCCATACGATCAAATAATTCGATGTCTTGGATTCCGGTTCGATACTTCCATATTTTCAAAGTGAGTATTTATAGAAATTATCTAAAAGAGAACCTTTATACCCAGCCAATTGCTGAACACTTGCATCTCATCAGCTATAACATCCGCTAACAGTGGGGTTGGAATTGGGGAAATGTTGACCTAAAATCCTAACCGTTTTTTTAAGATAAATGAAAATTTCATTACTGATATGATTATATGATTGCTGTTCTTTACTATGGGTCTTCTGGTAATTAGTTCTATAGACCGTTTAAAATCGTAAAACTTACTCATAAAACTGATTTTATTTCTAATTCTTTAAATTTAAAGTTCAACTTTTTAAAAATGATCTCACGCTTAAGTCAGTTTTAATGAGAAGCCTATAAACTTGTCTAAATTAATGATTTTATTTACACATTGCTTTGGTCTAGCAGAACCTTTAAAATGGTTAAAGGCAACGGTTCAATGACTATTCCCTTACGCTACTAATGTATTAAAAAAATATAAGCCACGAGGAAAACGGTTGAGACAAACTTCAAACCAAGAAATTTCACGTGTTTATGTCAATGTTGAGGTAAACAGTACCATAGTAGTATGTATAATCCCAGTGATGGGCCAAAATGGTGGTAGCTTAAGTTTTGAAATCATTTAAATTTTGAAACCTGAACTCCGATAATTCTATTTTTAATTTTGTTTACGTAAGTCAGCTATCTGGTGGTTATAAAGGAAAGTATCCAGTAATTACCCCTGATTACCAGTCTACAGAAATACCAGGCATCTATATTGTCGGCACAGCTACCCATTCACTTGATCACAGAAAATCAGCTGGAGGATTCATACACGGATTCCGGTATTCAGGTGACATTATGTTTTTTTCTCTCTCACAAAATACAATATGTAGCATACTTGCTATTCATTTGAAAACACACACATGCAGATTAAATTTACGGTATTCATTTAAAAACACATAATTGAGACTAATTTTATATTTACAAACTTTTAAAAAGTTTTTGGCGTACTCTTGATACATGATTCTGTGAAAAACAATATAAGTTCAAAGACACTTTTTATTTTTTTCCTGTCTGATGACGACTACAATATGCCCGTCGGATACGGACATACATGAGCTTTGATGTAGAATGGATTCCAGTAACAATTGATTTTAAATATGTAATAAGAATGTTTTTTAAAACAAATAAAATGTATTATGAAACAACGCTAACAACGGCTTTGCAATATAATAAATTCAATTATATAGTTCTACTACGTGTTTCCACTTTGTAAGAACTATAGTGTTTGTCTTAAATAGTTCAACAAAGACTGATTGAATTTGGTTTGAACCTTTTTTCTGACTTTAGCTCGTGCTTTACACAAAATCCTGTCATGGCGGTATCATGGGGACACGTGGCCAAAACAATCATACAGTGTTTCTAACTTGCTTCCGGTTACAGTGAAAAGGATAAATGAGGCTTCTGGAATATATCAAATGTTTGGACAACTGGTAGATGTTATATTATTTAACAGGTGAAATTAAAAAAAGGTTTTTTTTTTAAAGAATTTTAATTTTCAAAAGGATTATGCATTTTTTTCTGATTTTAGAATGCATATTTTTCCAATAACTTTCACCAGGTATGCTCTAACAAATGTCGCTAAGCTCAATGCATAGCGGAAAATTTCTAGTTCACATATATTCTACGGGATGCTGCACATAACGATGTTTTTCCTGATTGGAATTTGATCATTTTTTTTCCCTTCACAATGTTTTAAGAGTTATCTGTTCAAAACGTAGATTTTTTTTATTTGCAATGTTACATTAATAATATGGGTGCAAACAACTTACGAAATCCAATGTAAAGTGTAATTTCAGCAATATTAAAAAAAACATTATGGAAAAACTAGCGAAATAGTTATTAATGAAAATGATATTTTTTAAAACAACTACTTGATCACTTCTATACAATTTGTACATCTTTATTATATTACAGCGAATCATTTGAATATTTTGAGGAATTTCCTGTAAATTTAATCCAAGAATTCGATAAAATAACCGGGGAATCCTTATCCAATAGGAGCATGATAGTGTTGGGATTGGAATACGGAGAGGATTACCATGGTCCGTCAGAGGATGTATTCAGAGAAGACAGAGCAGCTACAGAACCAAGATATGCACATCTGTCGAACTTTTTACACCCTGTTTTATACTTCTATCACGTCCCTCCAAGTAAGTCATTTAGCTCTTTTTTCCATTACTCATTTTTGAAGTTCTTGTTGTTCAGTCTTTAGTTTTGTAGTGTTTTATGTACTCGTTTGGGTTTTCGTTGTCTTTTGTTTTGCCTGCGTTGAGAACGACGAAAGTAGGTCTAATTACAGCTCCGCTCCGTCCGTCCCATCCCGTCCTTCCACTCGAAAGACTTTGGGTTTCGCTTCTATGTAAAGGAATGACTTAATATTTAGCCTGCAGCTTGATATTGTTTAGCTGTAGTGACTTATCACCGTGCAGTGTTCCTGCCAATAACTTGAAATTTTACAAGAATATTGTGCAAGGAAAATATTTGTCAAAGATTTCCTGGCTTCAATGAAAAGGACTGATCAGTTATGCTCCAGTTTACATGTTATATTTACCAATTGCATGCAGATCCAGACTCGGTATTTGTCTTGTTTGCGCATGGCGTTGTCAGTTTAGACTCGACCTGTGATTTTTGAATGGTCTCTTTGTATAGGTATCTCCGCCTCTGTTGTATACTTGTGTTAATTTGTTACTTTCTGAGACCATTTTACCAGCCAAATTGATATAATAAAGAAAAGAGAACGGGTTAATCTGTGTCTATGTATAAGTAAATCAGATAGCCATCTATCAACACATAAAATAAACAAATAATATCTATAGAGAACAACAAACGGTCTTCAAATCTTCAACAATAGACAGTGCTTCACAACATAACAAGCTTTAAATCATATTCAAGTATTCTTCAGTGGTAAAATTTGATCAACTTTCAACACCAAATTCTTCAAAGGGAAGAAATACTATTAATATAAGCAAAGCCAATCAACTACAAATGTCCTGCCTTTGGACGATCAAATTATCAAGTTGAACTACTTTAATTTAGTAGTTCATTTAGAACTTGGACCTCATCTTTTTGATTGCGAGTTGTGGAATATAAAGCACACAAAACTTAAACAAAAAGTAAATCTGCATAGAAAAAGCTAACACAATACTTACTGCTCTTGGTTTTTACAGACTACAGAAATATACATGAAAACATGTGTAAATTCTCTGTACATTTTTTATGCTTGAATACTAGAACGTTTAAATTTTGTCAAGTTTGTCAGATACCGGACGGGAAACTTACCAGTTTATAGATGACTCATAACTGCAATTTTGATAGATTTTGACAAATTATGATGTGTTTTCTAACAAAATGATTGTAAGGGAAATGTCAAACCAATCGAAAATAATATTCTATATTTCAGTTACAAATTGGTACGTTTTTCTTCCCGAACTCCTGCAATGTGAAATTGTACAAAACAATATAAATTTGCAATCATATAATATGTAAAATTGTCCCCAACACCAAAATAAGCGACCTGTGTTGATAGTTCTTATAAACTGTCAACGATTGTAAAGCTATATTTTGTGAACTAGTCCTTGTATTGAAAACTGATCCTCTGTTTGAAAAGAGTAAGAAAAAAACAATACAATGTAAATATGACGACCGTGCATAAGACAATTTATTTTCTAGCCGATTCTTTTTATGGTGTATTTTTAAAATAATATTTAACCGTCTTTACACAATTAATACAGTTTTAATTTACAATGTAAGGTAAAAGATGCAGTTTTATCTAAGCTCAATAATGACTGGTTTCTAGTTTTCAATAAATAAGGTCCAGACCAAAACACAGGAAACATACCAAGGGGGAAATCATCAACCCAACAAAATAAAAAAAAAACACTATAGCCGAAAAGATAAACGATGAAAAGAAAAACAACAATCACAAAACATGACAAAGAAAAGAAAAAAGATAAGACCCCCACCGAAAACCATGGATGAACCTAGTGCTCCGAACAGGTAACTCGTTCCTGCTCCATTAGAAGCACACGTAAAACATCTAATTGATACCTGCCTTTGCTTGATTTTAACGATGAACATAAATTTGCAATCTTTATAATACTAATATTGCATACATGCAAAAACGACTTTCTGGCATTAAGAGTTATTTTGGGTTCATGCGAAGCCATCAGTTTTTGCATGTTTCCTTGATTAGTATCTACCGGGTCTATTTACGAGATTTGAACATCAGTAATCTACAGTCGCCTTAATCTAATTGTAAATACCAGTCTTCGATGATAAAATTTGTTGTATGTCCTTTCACAAAATATTTCATAGATAATTTTTTTAGATTTAATTTTCGAAAATTTGCTTTCCAAACCAATAAGCAACATTAAGTGTTTGTAAACAATATTTTATTATGAAATTAAATACACAATTAAATAAATTCACAAATAGCATTTAGAAACAAGCAAAAAATAATTATATTAATCTGTCTCCTTGTTGAAATGGATACAAAAATGAAATAAAACTACATGCGCTAATACATAATAAAAAGATATTGAAAATGTCAGTTGAGTTTCATGATGAACCGAAAAAAAAATGCAGCTATTAAGATGAAGTGCTTACATGTATATTGTGTGAATTATTAGTTAGTAAACCTTTTAGATTTAATAATGAAACTTTGTATAATAAGAAATAAACTAATGTTTTCTTCATTTGAAATCATATTTGAGCCGTTTAAAAAAAATATCAATGCGTATAATGGGGGAAAAATTTCCGGCGATATAGACATCTGCCTCATTTTACCTCGTTGTTATATTCTCTTACAAAAATAATTTAAGAATAAAAAAATAACATTGATATTAAACTTTTTTTAAGTATAAAAAAATAAAACGGAGATAATGTTTCCACTGGGGACTTAGGCTCGAAAAGCCTAAAGTATGAAATATTAGTTTTGGTTTATATATAAATAATTAGTATCACGTTAAGACTTCTTTGTAAGAGTGGCCCCAGTGAAATTGTTTCTCCGTTATTCAATGTTGTTTCATTACTATTTAAACCAAACCTTTTACATTCGCCTGATGACCGACTTGTAAATATTTGCATATTATTTTACAGAACTTGCTCATATATACTTAGATTAAGCATTGATTAAAAAATGCTTTTGACAAAGTAAACTGCTTTCAAAGGCCCAAATTTTGTCGTTTTTGGTTTTTCCTTTCCACAAAGTACGACTTCAAGAATATTAAATTTGAATAATAATGAAATTCAAGAACGTGTACCTTAATATCATTATCCATTCACGTTAGTGATCTATATAATTATCAAATCATTAATATTTTATCAAATCTGACACTAGAACAGATTAAATTCCTAAAGAAACTGTGTCAATTATATTTATAGATTTTATCTCGATTTTTGGCTGAAACCAGCTTAAGATTATAACACAATGTTGACTGTTGTACGTCAAATTTTATGCGACTGTCATCGAAGGAAGATGTTTAGATAGTATAAAACTATGTTCAATCCACCATTTTCTACATAAGGAAATGCCTGTACCAAGTCTAGAACATGGCAGTTGCATTCCATTCGTTTGATGTGTTTGAGCTGTTGATTTTGCCATTTGTTAAGAGACTTTCCGTTTTGAATTTTCCTTGGAGTTCGGTATTTTTGTTATTTTACTTTTAAGCTCACCTGGCCTTTAAGGCCAAGTGAGCTTTTCTCATCCCTTGGCGTCTGTTGGTCGTCGTTGTCCGTCGTCTGTCGTTGTTAACTTTTACAAAAATCTTCTCCTCTGATACTACTGGGCAAAATTTATCCAAATTTGGCCACAATCATCATTACGGTATCTAGTTTTTAAAATGTGTCCGATGACCCTGCCTGCCAACCAACATGGCAGACATGGCTAAAAATAGAACATAGGGGTAAAATGCAAGTTTTGTCTATTATCTTTAAAACTGCTATGCATGGATTAAATCTGAAAGTGGCAAAAATTATCAAAATAATGAGATCTACCTATTGTCTATTACTACAAAACTGCCATTCATCTTGAGTTATTGCCCTTAAATTACGAATTTTAACGATTTTTTTTCAATTTGGGCTAATATCTGAAAACCTAAAATAGGTAGAGAGAAACTTTAAAATACCAAAAAATGATTAGCAAGACAAGATCAACCAATAAGTCGACATGGACGAAATCATCAGACAACTCCTTATTGGAGTAATTGCACTTTAATGACGATTTTTATCAAGTTTTTGCGTTTTTGCCTAATATCTAGAAAACTATAATAGATAGATAGAAACTTATGTTGTTTCATCTGTGCTATTGTTTGTCTGTTTGTCTTTTTATTTTTGGCCATGGCGTTGTCAGTTTGTTTTCGATCTATGAGTTTGACTGTCCCTCTGGTATCTTTCGTCCCTCTTTTTTAAATAAGCAAAAATGGTCAGCAAAACAAGATCTACCAATAATTTTACACTTGAAATCGTCTGACAACACCCTTATTGGACTTCTTGCCATTAAATAATGATTTTTACCATTTTTTTCTGTTTTTTGCCTAATATCTTTAAAACTATAATAGATAGACAGAAACTTTAAAAGCAAAAATGATCAGCAAGACTTGATCTACAATTAAGTCAAATAGCAGAAATCATCAGTCGACTCCCTGTAGGAGTTCTTGCTCTTTAATGACGTTTTTTACCAATATTTTACCTACCATCTTGAAACTATAAAAGATAGATAGACTTTTTAAATAGCAAAAAGTGATCAGCAAGACAAGATCCACAAATAAGTAAAATTTTGACGAAATCGTTGGTTTTCTCTTTTTAGGAGTGATTACCTTAAATGATAATTGTTTTACTGTTTTTTTTTGGAGGGGGGGGGGCAAAAACTAAAGAAAAGAGAGAGAAACTGTAAATAGAAAAAATTATCAGCAATACAAGATCAACAAAAAATAAAAAGATTGTATTTTAGTCCGCATTGATGGAGAGGGTCCATAGATGAAGATGCTCATAGACCTAGGTGAGTGACACAGGCTCTTTAGAGCGTCTAGTTATAGTATAGCAGGCTCCTTTTGGGGAAAGTGTGTATCAAATTTGTGTTATCAACTTCTCCTTCAGTTTTCAAACAAAATCCCTGAAACTTTTATGATTGCACATAGGTTTCAGTTGTGCACCTGTTATTTTATAATTTTTACCTATAATGATCTTTGAAACCTCACAGAATAGTTGCAGATGTATTGACGTTTTTTATAATATAAAAGAGGGACGAAAGATACCAGAGGGACAGTCAAACTCATAGATCGAAAACAAACCGACAACGCCATGTCCAAAAATAAAAAGACAAACAGACAAATAATAGTACAGATGACAGAACATAGAAAACTAAACTTTGTTCTACCTCTACTGATAAATGAAAGCAACAATAGTTTACCAATGTTCAACTCTCATAAATATATTAAGAAGATACAAATAAAGGTAACACACAAAAACTGATGGAATCGCATGAACTAAAAATAATCGAAACCGGGTGCGTCGATAGGGTTAGGATCTCCAGCTATGCATAGAGGTAATTCATGGAAAGATCGTTGGCAAATAGTATGTCAACAGAACTAAAAACTTTCTTGTGAATCAGATTTAAATATTTATCTTAAAAGCGCCATCTTAAACAGAAATCTGCTGCATGAAAATATCAAACTAACGGCGAGTTATTGAATTCTGAACAAAGGTAAGGATGGGACGTTCAGTTCTTCCAATGCCTAAAGTATTTACATATATGTTGGTTCGTGATTATGGATATGCATTTTATCATAAAACCTGCTTATTATTTAACGAATGCGCCTTTGTCAAATTTATCCCTCAAAACGAACACAATACTTATCAGTGACGCTTGAATCAAAACATTTAAACAGCAAATTCAAGTAAGTTGTAGAGCACTGAGGACCAACAGATCCCAAAATTGCCAGATTCGTTAGAACAGTTTTCGCGATTTCCTCAGTTTTTGTTTGTTACCTTGATGTTTCTTTTCCTAATCGATTTACGAAATTTGAACATAGGTACACTACTGTCGGATTAATTTATCACTGAACTGTATTGGACAGTTCTACCCTAAAACAGTTTGGGATCTTTCTATCATAAAACGGATTTTGACAGTTTTACTAGAGAGCAGGTTTGGACAGTTTTTTCTCTAAAAACCATTTTGAACAGCTCTACTCCAAAACAGGTTCTAATAAAATTAGATGGTCTATAAATTCCCACCGAGAACGATACAAAAAATACATAATACCCGTAAGTGTTGAGCTCTTGCAGTCATGGACTACGTTTTCCCCTTTGACGAAGATAATCAATTTATTGTCATCAAACATAAAATTTCGATTAATTTTCACAGGAGGCATTTTACTTTGCTGCGTCTGACTTCCCCGATGACTAGAACTGCTCTAAAGAATGATTAGAGAGCTGGTATCTTACTGCTCCCAAATGTATATGCTGCGCTTAGACAAGCGGATATATTGAACAAAGACTTGCAACAACATGTCTTTTAATAACAATAAAAACAACAAACTACTGATGGGATTCTGGACATTAAACATGTAATAGTGTCAGAAAGTTTTTTTAGAAATCTTACATTTTATATATTCATCAGGTTTGGGCTTGGTTTAGGAATAAAGCTTCCATTTAAATATATAGTTACCTTCTATTATATTTCAGGAAGGACAAGCTATATAGACGAAAACATGTTGCCTATACCTGATAAATTATTTCATTTAGTGGAGGACTTCCATACCAACTGGCATCATAACCAAACACATGTACAGCACTTAAAAACGTTTCTTGAAAACTGTCTTTCACAAAGACTAGATGCATTCCAGAATACAGACTGTTTTTCCTTTGCCTTATCTAGAAGATCGGTTCCAGTAACATGCCATCATTATTTGAAAAGTGTATAGAATTTATTCAATAAAATAAAACTTATCATTTAGGTTATTTATGTGATAAACTGCCAATGAAAAACTAGTCAAAGAAACCAGACCTATAATTTAACACACCAGACACGCGTTTGGTCTACACAAGATTCATCAATTTCATTCAAACCAAAAAATTTGAAAAACCAAATCAATAACGAATTTGAAGGGCATTGAAAACCAAATTCAAAATATATGAAAAATCATTCCAAATGTGGCTAGTTAAACTATCCTTCATTTTTACTAGCCAATATTAACTATCCACTCTTATCCATGGAGAGGGTGGGGACCTGATTTCCCATCACAGACTTTGATCTTTTAACCCACAAAGAATTATATTTCCCTTACTTGTCTAACCTGTAAGTAAATGGCCCCAGTGAAATAGAATTTCCGCTAGACAAGAGTCGGTGTGTTTAATGTGCTACACAGAAACTTAATCTTCTAAGTTTTACAATGTTGTTATATTCCTTTACTTACAGAAGCACTTCACATTGATTTGATAAAATGTGTGTTCATATTTTCATACTAGTTCAAAGAACCTGCACAAATATGATTAAATCATGCATAACACTAAAAAGAGACTTTTAAAAAAGTAAACTATGACAGCAAAAAAGACAAAATTTGGTTCCTGTCTTTTTTTTTTTCCAAATAAACAATAATAGTTTATATTATTTGAATAACACACAATTCAAGGTCTCTTACCTCATTTTAATTATGCATTTATCCTTGATCATTTGACAATGTTATAAATTCAAGTACTGATTAAACTATAACAAATCCCTCAAATTTATAATAAATGCAAAAAACTGTCTTGCACTTAGATGTTAAATGATCTTTTTTTCTAAGCTTTGTTATTGTATGAACCGTAATCTGTAAAACATCTAAGACCACAGCATATTCCTTTTGGTATATCTACTACTGTTTAAATTAGCTAAATGTTTACCAAACATATACTTATATCTTATCCAATGTGGGATCAGACTCATGACTTTTTGTCAATCGAGGCAAGTACGCTACATTGAAATTACAGTCCCGGTTTTGTAAACATCCGGGGCATTTTGAACTTATTCTGTATTTTTTCTTCTCTCTTCTTTTTTTATGACTCCACGATATTTATCTTTATCCACTGATTTATATAGTATTTACTTATTTATACCATTCATGAAGAATTCATGGCAGAGTTTTGGCAAACAGTATGTCGACAAAACTAAATTCAATAAAACAACCTCTTCAGTACTAGTATCATGTAATTGTGTTTTTAGTATATTTGATATACCTTAATATTGAAATTCCACTAGTTGAATGCAGTGAGCGGATAAGTCGTACAGCCTAGAAATGTTCTCAAATGACCTTATTTGTAATTTGTGCTGCCATTTCAGCATCTAAAACAGAGCTAACTTTAATAGTCCTACTTGTATAATAGGTATTCAGAAACCTGAAACGCATGTATTTGGCCTAAATGCCAGGATTATTATTGGTGCCATAAACATAGTAAATAACGCTTATCTGAAAAATGTGTTATCCAAAGGCCCGAATTATTGTGAGCCTAAATTCACCAATTGGAAACACAACTTCAAAATACTGATGGATTCAGTCAAGGATTAGGCCAGGCAATGGGCTAAACGCGAGAAAGAAGACGTAGTTACTCTTTCCGATTGGATTGAGGCTGTTAGTTCGTTAATACAGATCAGAATTAAGAAACTGAATGGGTCTATTAATACCCATGCTACATCAATCTTTAAAGACCCAAATGTTGCTAAACACTTGTCCTAACTCCATGACAAATATGTTGTTGTCCCCGCAGATAAAGCCCCAAACAGCATCGTTTTTGTGTTTAAATCACATTACATAAACTGTTTGATAAATGAATTAGGTATTGACAATTCAATTGGAAACTCAACATATACCCCACGACACTTACTACAGAGGATATCCTTGATAATCATAGGTCTGTTCTATCATCCTTAGGAATTTCAACCAAAGATGAAAAACTGGATCTTCCATCACTGTATTGGATACCTAAACTACATAAGTGTCCTTACAAACAACGGTATATTGCTGAGTCTTCAAAGTGCTCCATGAAACCTCTTTCTAAATTATTAACATCAATTTTATCAGCAATCAAAGTCGGGCTTTAAAGTTATTGTGAAACTACCTATTCTAGAGGTGGCGTGAATCAGATTTGGATACTAAAAACTTCAAAAGATCTTTTAGAGTACATACAATCTAAGACTCTTTCATCTTGCAATAGTATTAAAACATTTGACTTTTCTACACTTTACACAAGTAATCCACATTCCAAAATAAAAGACAAATTGAAAGAGTTGGTCCTGCTTTATTTCATAAAAATGGCCAACGTAGATACAAGTATCTTGTCTTAGGAAGGGATAAATCCTAATTTGTAAATATTCACTCTGATTCTTACAAACAATCTCTGAAAATGACATTATCAAGATGCTTGATTTCTTGATTGACAACATATTTGGTACTTTTGGAGGACGTATTTTTCAAAAAACAATCGGCATTCCCCCGGAAACCAACTGTGCCCCTCTTCTTGCAGACTGGTTCCTTTATTCATATGAGGCTGACTTCATACAGGAACTTCTTAGGAAGAAAGAAAATAAGTTAGCAGTATCCTTTAACTTTACTTTCCGCTACATAGATGATGTTCTCTCACTAAATAATTCAAAATTTGGTGACTATGTTGAACGCATCTATCCCATCGAACTTGAGATAAAGGATACAACAGATACATAAAGTCTGCCTCATATCTTGCCTTACGTCTAGAAATTGACAATGAGTGTCGGTTAAAAACAAAACTTTACGACAAAAGAGATGATTTTAACTTCCCAATTGTGAACTTTTCATTTCTATGTAGCAACATTCCAGCAGCGCCTCCATACGGAGTAAATAACTCCCAGTTGATACGATTTTCCAGGGTTTGTAATTCCTATCATGATAGAGGGTTGCTGCTCACAAGGAAGCTATTAAACCAAGAGTTCCAAGTTGTGAAGTTGATATCGTTCCTTCATAAATTTTACGGACGCCATCACGAGTTGGTTGACTATTAAGGAATATCCGTTTCACAGATGACAACGGATATGTTCCAATTGTCGTAACTACAATCCCGTCCCCTTTTTCCCGAATGTGACCTACCGAATTAGACTTATCACCGGGTTTGTACTAACATGAGCAACACGACTGGTGCCACATGCGGAGTAGGATCTAATTACCCTTCCAGAGCACCTGAGATCACCTCCAGTTTCTGGTGGGGTTCGTGTTGCTCAGTCTTTGGTTTTCTATGTTGTGTTTTGTGTACTGTTGTTTGTCTGTTTGTCTTTTTTATTTTTAGCCATTGTGTTGTCAGTTTATTTTCGACATATGAGTTTGAATGTCCCTTTGGTACACACTATAAAATATAAATTGAAATGGCTTTACTCAATCAAAAGACATATTAACACCAGTGAACATACACTGAACAAATAAATTTGATCTATGATACAATGTAAATACAAAATAAATAAACTAAAGGAAGAATAATTAAAATAACATGCTATACCGCTGTGAAATGTTAAACAATTTAAGAAAAACAATATGATTGAACAAAAATATTAGCCATTTGCAATTACTTTAAACACAGGTAATGAAAATAATTTTGTTGTTAGGTATACGTGTACAGTTCAAATGGAGAAAGGAAATATTTTTACAAAATAAATAATTTTGATGTTCATCGTACGAAGAAGTGAAAATTTATAGTAATACCAAACACTTATCAAAGCTGGTATATAGACCAGATATAACCCTGAATAAGTAAACATTAAATAACAAAAAAGCATTACAATTAGTATCAACAGGTCAAATAAACAAGTACGATTTGAGAGTACTCGCAGTTACTGACAGCTAGTAAAAAAGCCAAAAACAATTAATAATAAAAAGTCATGCATCAATGTCTAAAATCAACTAAAACACATCCCAGGGATTTAGTATTGTAACGTCATGGACAGTCAAAGAAGACATGAATTGTGCAATGCCAAAAATAAATGTATCGACAGGCAGTAGGATAGTTAGGAGCTAACCTCTTTATAGATCAAAATGAACGTGGGTGTGTCTTTATACATCCCGTTTGAAAAGAATACAAATTTAGTTATGTTTTAATTTGCTGATGACAAAATCGATATTAGTGCCAACTATATTCAAAGATCTAATTACAACATTGGTAAGATAACCTTTACTAATGAGTTTGTTTAAATTTTCGATGAGTTTACACGGGTCTAAATACAGCACAAACAACATTTTCCAAAAGACCAAAAAAGTGAAAAAGTATATTTTAACAAAACGCATTTGACTAGCAGGATGTTCTTAAACCCTGTTGACTGCCATTACCATTGCCAAATAAGCGAATCACCAGATGTAACAAAATGGATCTTTATTTATTAATTTAATACCAAACAGAAAACAATAAACATGTTTATGTATATAGAGTCCATGAATTAATGACTCTTGCAAAAGTTGTTGAATTAAACAAATGGTATAATATTTTAAACAACAATTTTCATACAGCGTTTTCTGAACATGTCTACATCTATTTCTTTTCAAACCGGATATATTTTGTTGCATCAATAAAATAAACTTTCGACTATTGATTATTCAAATAACGTATTATTTGTTTCATTAAAAAAAAGAAAATGTATTTAAAAAGATAGTAGTGCGAAAAACAGACCAATCATTACTTCATCCTCCCGTTTCTCCTTGTTTTAACGTTAAATATGACCCTGAAAGTTGATTTTCTACGGAAAACCCAGCGATTTCTTATTTAATTATATTGTCATGCATGTAAACAGTAATAAATAAATAAGGTCTCTCTTGTTAAAGACAACAATAATGTATACCTTCGTCAAACTTACTCCAAATTGTGTAAAACATAATAATAAGCAAAAAAGAGGTTAAAAGCCAAGTTTTATAGGACTTTTATTAGTCAAATTAAT